TGAAAACGCAAATACACATGAAAAACCCATAAAAAATATAAAAAAATCGAAGCAATTCTAGAGAAATTCGTGTGAGTCACGTTAATTGGCGAATTATCCCGAAAAGCGAATATTTCCAAGAATTGAGATAAGCTTTCAAAATCTGTTTACATCAATCTCTTGAGAGATTTCCCTGACATACTACAAATTGGCACGTAAGCAATGCACTATACACATACATATGTATGTGCTGTATACTCGTTGTTTGTTTTCGCACTAAAAAAAAGCTTCTTGAAACACTTTTTTTTTGGCTAACCCAATATTAGATCATTGCCTCGATACTTTAGTATCAAGATATATACTTAAGTATCTCAAACAAATTGATCTGCTGCAATATCGATTGGCATCCGGTATATGTACATACATACATACATAAAAATGTATGTATGTATGTGTTTGTGTATTATATTTTGTAATACTATTTTGTTTATCTATACCAACAGAGCAGTTCCTATATTAGTTTAGCAAAGAACTAAAGAGTTTTTTGGTACATCGATACTTTTGTATCTATATAGTTATAAGATATAGATATGTAGTATTTACATATTACAATTCCTTAGATACTTTGGCAACTACTTACAGATACATTTGTATCTTTCAGATATCCTTGGCAATATATAAGGTCGAATACGAGAGGACTGTAATTTATTACAAAATATTTGTGCTATTTATTGATTCATTTTTTTTTTCGCCATACACATGGTTATTGGCATTATTATGACAAGGCCTAATGATAATTGCTGGTTGACTTTGAAGTCTGATTATAAAGCCCATGTGAGGGTCAAAATACTAGCTATAAATACAAATATAATACATGTGTCTGTATCTATAAATAATGTCTGCATTTCCAGACCAACACCAATACCAACAACAACAACAACATCAGCAAGAAATTCCACATCAAGTGTAGTTCAAACATTGTGTGTTTGTGCAATATTTGCAAGACCTTTTGGTAGAAAGGCCGCTCCGTCGAGATCTGAACAAACAAATATCAAACATACAATCTGAACATGGATAGAACGATAGAATTATGCACAGAAAGAGAGAGAGAGAGAGAGCCACAAGATAATTACATGGAGAGGCATGCTCATCAGCAGCCCTCAAATTTTTTATTTTTTTCATCTTCCATCTTGTGTGTATTTCAATATTTGTGCTGCTCATTGCATTTACTTGGCAGACAACGGCAGCCAAGTACAGTGGTACAAAATCAAATATCTTATGTACTACAACAAGAGAAGATGCTCGATTCAGTGGCACACAATTCTTGATCATACGCATAAGGTAATTTTAAAACTTTATTATAATTATCTTATCTCCTATGATCTTCGTCCCACTGTGCACTGTTTGGCCAATGCAAATAACAACATGAACCGCTGCGACGGTGGCTATAAAACATGAGGCAAAAGCATGTGACATAGACAACTTGGCAGCCCCACTAGCAGACACGATGAATGGGAAGTGGGAGCTACAGTGACTGCTCCTCAGTGGTGCGTGGCCCACTGATGGCGTCTGGTGGTGCAAGTAAAAGCCACTTGAGCTGCAAACTTGATTATGCCATATGCCAATACCGAAATCTAAAACGCGCTCGTTTTCAGTTGCATTTAGTTGTCGCTGTTGTGTTTGTTTTTTGGGTGCGGAATGTTGCGTTGTCGTTCGTGTAGTAGTTTTTGATGTCGTACAAAAAGCCATTAAGAGTCATCAGCATGCATGACGGTGAACAGCTATTTGGAGTGCCAATTGCATGGCGTATAAAACGCTTTGAGGTTGAGGCAACCAAACAAATACCAGCCCGTCTACAGTTGAAGACACCTGAACGTGAACCCTGAACGTGAAAAAATTGAAAGCAACTGGTTTTCCAACGCGTACGGCCGACCTCCTTCATATGGAGATGGAGTCTCTTTTACATGGAGATGGAGCAGCAGCAGCAGCAGGAAATGCTGCCACGAGGCGCGCTTATCTTAAATCGAAGATTTGCATAAGTTGCCAGCAGACGTTGCGGCTCAAATAATCATAAAATTTAATATGTTTATGGCCAAAATGTGTGCATGTGCGTGTGTGCTGTTGTTGTTGTTATTGTTTAGACCTGGCACAGCAGTCGTGTTTATATTTGCATTACAAAGGCATCTTTAGTGCTGCCCCTTTGTAGCAATGGCTTTGCCATTGAACTGATTTGATCGAACAATTTAATTGCAATTTTGATGGCCACCCACCAATGGATACACTGCAAAAAAATGGAAACTCTCTTCAATCGATGCAACTTACGTAAAATCTTATCTCTTAAGGAAAGTTCTTCTCAAGTCTTCAATCGACTCGATTCGAACCCGGAACTACAGAATATTTATATTTTTTACTAGGTCGTGAGATTCACGAATAAAGCCTAAACACTTTGAAATATCTAATCAAATTTATTTGAATAAATTTCAAACGTATCATATTTTGCATATTGTCGTCAATCATCATGCATAGGCTGAAATTTATACTCCAGTTATATAGCAGCTTTCATAATACTTCAAAAAAAAATGCGTTTTTTTTTTTTTTTTTTTTTTTGTCATTTAAGCATAGTCCATGGATTTTACTGGCCTTCGCCTTGGTCATAGTTAGCTGCTGGACTAGGAAGTTACCTGGTTATTATCTGATCGCTTTGAGTCGATTCAATTAGCACATGTATATGTAGTTTATCTCAGCTAGCTAACAGCGTACATGATAATGATAATGGTATTGATATTGATGATGATCATGATGATGATGATGTGTCTGTTGCTGTTGATGATGTGAATGGAGATTATGAAATTGCAGCTTGAGTTTGAAATTCGCGCGCACGCGTTTTGAATGCGGGCTCTGCTAATCGCGCAATCAACTGGCACGCATAGCGCGCATATTAAATACAACATGACAAATGGAAACAACACATGGATATACATATATTTATATACATACATATATATAAAAGCAGTTGTTACTGACAGCGCGAGCTGTGCGCTCCGCGGTTTTGGCAGGTGGTTGAGGAGAAAGTTACCAACATTGAAACAACTTTTTTTTTTGTTTAGTGTGTTGCCATTGTTGTTGTTGCTCAAGCTTAAAGCAGCCAAAAAAAAAAAAAATCAAAAGCTAAACACTCATACATATATAATATACATATACATATAATGTATATATGTATATGAAAAATTAAAAAAAATAAATAAAAACAGCTGAAGAAGCAGCAACAAAATACTTAAAGAAATTAAGTAAAACGAGGGAAGCGGCGTAAGCGATTATGAAATCGCCGCCAATGGAATTCGAATCAATGTAAATACATACACATACACTATGCATATGTGTATGTCTGTGTGAGTGTGTATGTGCCTGTGCGTGTAGTTATGAAGCATGCGGCTTGACTTTGGCCAAGTCTCCGGCTGAAAAACTCTTTCGCAATATATGTATGTATGTATGTATACGCGTCAAGCATCGAATTGAGGCCTGGGCCTGGCACAGACAACTCCTCAACTTGGACTGGATTGGCTTGTAATTGAATCACACTTACACACACATACACATTTACATTGGCGCACTCGTATACACACACACACACACACACACCCTTATGTATGTTCAGTTGGTTGGCCACATAACGCATCCAAAAAGTAGGAAGCGACAACGCACTTGACAGAGTTGTTGCCGTTGTTGGAGTAGCTCTTGTTGCAGTTGCTGTTGTTGTTGCGGTTGCAGTTGCCGTTGCCGTTACAGTTGATGCCGCCATCGTCTGTATGGAATTTTTCACTTTTGCTTTTAATAGCCAGTGTAACAGAAAACAGAAAACAACAAAATAAGAGCAGTCAACATTCAATGGACACGGAAAGGCGAGCTGCATTTTAGGAATGTATTTCTTTCATTTATACCCAGTATGAAGTACAGTTAGCTCATATAATTATATAGTGTAGAGAATTTCCATATTGCAATTGGGAATCATTTTTATAACCTATTTAAATTTAACACCTAGGTTGCTCATAACTTTGGAATCCCCAAATAAATATAAATTCGATTCTTAAAATGTTTCTAAATTATAAATAAAAGTCGTACATTTCTTTATTTTTTTCTAACAATGTATGTATATAAATAAATAAAATTTCAAATAAAAATAAAAGAAAATTTATAAATCCTAAGTTTTTTTTTTTCTTTTTTTTTTTAAATAAAAATTTATTATATTAATTTTTTTTTTTTTTTATATATTATTTGACTGTTTGTTCAGCGTGTAGGGTATTTACTAGTTAATCTTGAAACAAAATATAACTCACACTATTATTTCATTTATATTTATTTATTTTTCCCACTTGTTTTGTTTTTCTTCTATTTTCTTTTTTTTTTGGATATTCGAAATTGCCGCTCTTCACATAACTGTAAACTGAATGCCAAGCAGGCAAGCGGGTAGACGGGCAGTTCCGCCCGTCTACGCCAGATGTCGCACGTTTCATTTTGGCGAACGCATTGCCTACTTGGGCTAGGGTGCTGCAGCAGGGGCCAAGCCGAGGAAATATCAACTGCGCTGACATTGATTTTGAAAAAGCGGCAACGACTCGCAGCAGTTCGACAGTTGCAGGAAATGGGAAAAGTTAAGAGCGCAACAGGATACAACATGCCTCCCTCGCGCCTTGCTGCCTCTCTTCCTTGCAGCGAAATAATTTTCGTTGATAACAGACAATAGAAATTGTGCGTCCTCGAGTGCCTGACTTCAAGTGTGGCCAGGAAATGCACTTACAATAGGCATGGGCATTAGGCATTAGACCATGCGTTGCACATGTTGCACCCGCAACTAAATGTGGCAGACAAGCGCCGCACGATAAGTGGCAAGCAATTGAATGGAATTGAATTGGACAATTGCATAATAGTCTGCTGGTCGGCTATAGATTGGGCAATTGATAAGGTCGATAGCACGCACAATTACTAATAGATCTGTAGCTTAATATATGGTAAATAGAACTAACCTCTCTTATACTATATTCGATCGATATAGATTCTCTCTGTTGCTGGGTGGCTGAGTGCTTCGATATATTTTTTTCGGACCGCACAAAACAAATGCAAATGAAGCCGCTGGTTTCGCTTTCAAGATGAATCGCTGGTGCTTGCCGATTGGCAAAACACACACACCACAAACTAGCTGCCAACTAGCTCAAAGTTTTATTGCCAGTTTATGTAGTGGATCACGTCTTTTCTTTTCGTATTTAAAGCACAAAATCTATTGAGTTATGCGTATAAGTTTTGTTTATTTGAACACTTTGCAAACAAATCCACATAATGGTTCGAGTGTGTGTGAGATTTATTTAATAAATTTTTAACATTTATATAACAATCACACAATCATTAACATGCTATTGCTAGTGCAGACAATTTCGTTTTCTATTTTGTTTAAACAGAGTGTTACTTTTCTTTTTCGGGACCTTTGTTGTTATTGCTAGGTGCGCACGAGATTTGATTGTCGTAATATAATTGCACGTTTTTGCACTGGTTGCGTTGGAAGAACTTGCGGTTAAGCTGCGTTTGAGCTATCTGACGTGTTATATCTTTTATCGTTTACGTTTATAAATGTTTAGAAAAGCGATTTTATTTTTTCCGTGGACCACGACTTTCACGCTCAGCTGTTCTCATTGAACTAAACTCCCCACGCAATGTCCAACAGCTGTTCGTTCTGTTAACAACGAACGTCTTAACAGTGGCTATTTTATTAACAGTTGCTGTTTATAACAGTGTATCTAAAATGTAAGTTGCACGACATCATATTACTATAGATGCTTTCAAAAAGTGCTTAAATTAAAAAAAATATACATGATCCATGATTGAGAGTTTTATTTATTAAATACATGATAATAATTGCATCTTTCAAAATTTTAGCGTTGCCAGCACAGTTGCTTTGTTAGTGCTACCACTTGGGTGGTTCATGTCTTTGCTTTTTAAATATCTAAGTTTTCAATTTTACTGTACAACACCTCAAACTAAACACAAATTTTGAAAGCATACCAATTTTCTGATCTGGTATGCATAAAAATTTATAAAAGTATTCATTTATTAAAATTAGGGCACATTTCTGTCATTCTGATATTTTTCTTTTCTCGTTCGTTCAGAAGTAGTCGATATAGGTATATCGATAGTTTAGGCGTCCCTAATTGTGATTTGCAGTTTCACTTTGCCTACTTCATACGCGCATATTTGTTATACAAAATTTAATTAAATATTCAGAATTTAGCTTAGCTTGGGATATAGCAAGAATGTCGAATACGCAAGCGACAGTTACTGCATATTTAGCAGCACAAAAGAAGACAACAAACAAGGATCTCGCTGCCGAATGGACTCTAATTGAGGAGCTGTACAATGAAAAGTAAGCGCTATTCTTTTTTTTTCTTAATATAAATTTGATGTTTTTGCAGGTTGTGGAACGAGCTAACGATTAAGCTTGTTACATTTGTGCGCCATGAATCGTTGCAGGACGAGAGTGCTCTTCTGCAGCTGTATCAAAATTTCATCTCCACCTTCGAGACAAAGTAAGTCAAAGCCGCATTTAGTCTGTCTGGCAAATATGATATTTTAAATATACATATTTAATTGCAGAATAAATCCCTATGGTCTGATTCAAATACTTGAAGTTGTTGTGGATAATATCAATGATAAAAAGGAGGCAATTCAATTTTTGGAAAAAATGAAGGACAAGGTTAAAATATGTGATGAAGCTGTTTGGTATCTGCAAGTCATGCAGGGCAACTTATATCTCAGCAATCTGAATGATCTGAATGCCACCAAGAAAATCATAGAAGAATTGCGCGATGTCCTTGAGGAAGCAGGCAACGTTACTCCCGTGCATGGCAAATACTACATGCTTGCATCACAATATTACCGTCGTGTGGGCAAGCACAGCGAATATTATCGTTGTGGTCTGCAGTTCTTGGGCTGCTCGCTGGACGACTACCCACGCGATCAATGGGCGCAACAAGCTTTCTTTTTGGGACTGGCCGCACTATTGGGCGATGGCGTCTATAACATTGGCGAGCTGTTGGCGCATCCCATTTTAGAATCACTTAAGAATACTGAAAACGAGTGGTTGGTTGAGCTGCTAAAGGCATTTAACACGGGAGATATTAACAAGTGAGTGGTTGAAAAAGACTATAATTTAAAAACTTTTAAGTATTTGTTGTCTTCAAATAGATTCAACGATATGAAAAAGATTTGGTCAAAAATCCCTGATCTAGCCGCCCAGGAAGTCAAACTACGCCAAAAGATTTCGTTGCTCTGCCTCATGGAAATGACCTTTAAACGTTCGGCCATCGAGCGTGCAATTTCCTTCGCAGACATCGCTAAAGAAACAAAATTGCCTCTCAAAGAGGTTGAGTTTTTGATCATGAAGGCGCTGGCTCTAGATCTGGTGCGTGGCGAGATCGATCAGGTAGCTGGCGTGGTTAACATGTCATGGGTGCAGCCACGTGTTTTGGATCGCTCACAAATTGTAGGCATGGCCAGTACACTGGACACATGGATGGGTGCGATCACAAATATGGAAAAACTTATGGAGAATCGTGCTGCAGAAATTCTCACAAATTGATAAGTTTCCTTTAATTCCCATTTACCTGTATACTTTTTGTATTAAACCAACATGCATAATGCAAAACTTAACAATTGTTTTTACTACAAAGTATAGTTAAAGACTGGTCTTCATTTCAGTTTGTGAGGAAGACATGAAAAATATCCAATTTATATTTAATTAAATAGAAATTAAAGAATTCCATTTATTCATACAATATCATTGGCTTATCTTAGTTAACACCAATTTGCTCTACATAGCCCATACAAGTTTCTGGATTGAATATAAATAGATTTCGATGTGGAGCTTCCATTTTGGTGACCACTTTAATAATCTCCTGTGCCACAACGCCACCAACAACAGCAACTGCTGGCGATATCTGCGCAAAAAGTAAGCCAAGTGTATCGCTAGACAGTGCAGAGTTCGGCACAAGCTCATCTCGAATTTGCTCTAGCAAAGCAATGTCTGCCTCTCTTGTCTTATAGCTGGGATCACGTTTATAGGTGCTGCGAAAGTTTTGTAGAACGCGCAACAGTATAATGCCTGGACCATCTCGCTTCAACTTGCGTTGATAGTTGGGAGCATTGATATTGAAGTCGAGCCAATTGGAATACGATGGGTACTCGACTTCGCGTTGCACTGGGGTGGATACCGTTTCATATTTGACCTTTTCATTCGGTTTCGATATCACTTTGTACTTGATAACGTTTCTGGAAAGAGAAAATTCACAATTAAAGTAGGCTTTCATACATTGTATATTCCAGATCACTTACTCCACGTAGCAATGTTTCTGCAAGCCAGCATAATGGAAACCAAACATGCCCCAAACATCAGTGGCAAAAAATTTAATACCCAGCTCCCGGCAGATTGTGTCTATGCGCAACAATTCTTCGTTGCTGGCACCGTTTATGACCACGACATCAAATTGGCCGAAAAAGTCCGCGGTCTTTTCACTCAATGGCTGCGTGTCTGCAGATATGTCTACCATAGGATTAAGAGCTCGAGCACGTGTTAAAGAAGCTTCAGCTCTGTTGTTGCCCAAGGATTCACGAGCCGCCAGAAATTGTGAGCAAAAGTCTTCTTCGGTTACCAATTTGTCATCGTGCAGCTTTACCAAGTTCACACCAGATAAAATAATATTCTTAGTTATTTCCGCACCTAGTCCATTCAGACCAGATATCAATATATTGGCTGTGCGTAGTCTATAAAATTGTATTTTTATTACAAATTTATTTTTCACAAACAAAAATGGAGACAGCCGGCATACCGGCAAACTAACCTCTTTTGTGATTCCAAGCCCCAAAGACGTATTTGTCTATCATATAGTTCATTTTCTGCGTCTGTGAGCTCAACGCCAGTCTCTTTAGCACTTTCCTCAACGTCCATTTTCATGTTTATACAAAAATTGGTTGAAATGTTGCGAAAAAATAAACGCCAATGACGCTAGAGAAGTAGTAATACCGGAAAATTATCGATAACTTTATGAAAATAATCGATATCATATCCTTATTGTACTTCGATTTAAGTACCATAAGAACCGCCAGTTTGCCGCAAATGTTGTTTGAGGATTTATACCATTTTGCAACTACTTCTTAATTAACTCTTAATTCCTTGATAAGGGCATACACAATTTTTTTTTCTTCAATTAAGAATTTTTCCATTTTAATTTGTTGATTTGATTACTTTTCAATTTTAAGTCCAGTTCTCCTAATCTAATCTTTAATAATTATTACATATAGAACATCAATATAGATACGCAAAAAAAAATATTCAAATGATTTACACATTTTACAGTTAATTTTGAATTTTTTTTATTTATTTCTATTTGTAACAAAATTATATATCGATGGCACATATGCAACACTATGGTGCAATATTTATCAACACTGATTAACAACCACATTAACTCACGCAGCAGTTGCAACAACAACAAAATTACGCGATAAACAAAACGAAGCCGATTTCCTAGCAATAAAACACAATGAGTGTTGTAAGCACAACACCAGCATCGCAAGATGCTTGCTATATATCGCTTCTTGGACTAGCCGAATACTTTCGTACCTCACAACCGCCAAACATAAAAAAATGCATACAATGTTTACAGGCGCTCTTCACTTTTCAGCCGCCTTCAAAGGTAAGTGTACCATAAGTGAAAGTCAATAACAAATGCCGCAAATACCTAAATCAACGGAATTACTCTTCTCCTATTTAGGTGGAGGCGCGTACACACCTGCAAATGGGCCAAGTTCTTATGGCTTACACATGCAACATAGATTTGGCGCGTCGACATTTGGAACAGGCATGGAGTATCGCGGAGCCTCTTATGAATTTTGATGATGTCAAATTCGATACTGCCTCACTTCTCGCCCAGCTGCATCTTCAAACGGAACAGAGCTCACATGCCAAGGCGATGCTCCGACGAGCCGTTGAATTATCACAAAATAATGTCTATTGGCATTGTAAACTGCTACTGCAACTGTCGCAGATCCATGCGAGTGATCGTGAATATTCCTTGGCAAGTGATTTATTGGCTGTGGGCGCCGAATCAGCAGAGGAGGCGGGTGCCACATACCTTAAAGTACTGTTTTTGCTCTCACGGGCCATGATCCTAATGATTGAACGGAAAACGAATGATGTACTAGCACTGCTCAATTCAGCGGGTCAAATCATCGATAATAATATACCTAATCCACATCAAAAGGAGTATCTGAAAGTGTTCTTCCTAGTGCTGCAAGTGTGTTACTATCTGGCCCTCGGCCAGGTGAAGACAGTAAAGCCCAGTTTAAAGCAACTTCAAATGTCTATACAAACGATTATGGCACCCAATTGGCCAAGTGACGAGTCCATCTTTGGTGGCAATCAGCTGGAGATGTTTGTATGGCTGCCCAAGGAGCAGCTTTATGTACTTGTCTATCTGGTCACTGTTTCTCATTCGATGATGGCAGGTTACATGGACAAAGCGCAAAAGTACACGGAAAAGGCATTAACACAAATCGAAAAACTAAAACAGCAGGAGGACAAATCCATATTATCCGTATTTAAGGTTATCCTGCTGGAGCACATCGTGATGTGTCGCATGGTTATGGGTAACCGGGAGCTGGCTATACGTGAGATAGCCGCTGCACGTGATGTATGCCTTGCTGTGCCGCACCGTAACCTGCTCAAGCGACATTCGGCGCAACTCCACTGCCTTATTGGTTTGTATTCAATGTCAACGAGTTTCTTTGAGCACGCAGAACGACAATTTCTGGTGTGCGTGAATGAGACGACCGAACGGGATCTGAAGCTCTTCGCTAATCTAAATCTGGCCATCATTTATCTGCGCACAAAACGGGAAGCTGACCTCAAACAAATACTTGATGCCGTATCCACGGAAAACACGCACACCTATAGCAGCCAAGCCCTGATGGGCGGATTTTACTATGTACAGGGATTGCACGCTTTCCACAAAAGTAGCTTTCACGAGGCAAAGTAAGTGGTAGTAGAGAATGGCAACATTTTGACGGTTCGTAATACAATCGATTGTTTTCTACAGACGATTCCTTCGTGAAACGTTAAAAATGGCCAATGCAGAGGACTTAAATCGCCTGACGAGTTGCTCCCTGGTGCTGCTTTCACATGTCTTCCTTAGCATAGGCAACTCCAAGGAGAGCATGAATATGGTGACGCCGGCCATGCAATTGGCAAGTAAAATACCTGATATCCATGTGCAACTATGGGGCTCGGCGATACTGAAGGATCTGCACCGCATGTCCAAGGATGCGCAGCACGAGAAGGAGGCATATGCCAACCATGTGAAATACTCAGAAAACCTGATTGCTGATCAGCGCAAATGCGTTCAGAGTGCGCACCACGAGCTGATCAATTGGTTTCAAGGTAATCCGCCTGTCACCAGCAACTCATCACTTAATCCTGCCGTTGCTGTACCCACGACGGAGACGTCTACATCAGCGCTTCAACAGCCGCAGCAGCCGACTGCGCAATTCGGACAGTTCTATTAGACGACCAAGTGCATATATCGAATCATAAGCATTTTAATAACTACTATTGTAAGCTAAAAATTAAAGACTAAGAAATGCTACAAAAATGTTATTTGTAATAGAGCTGGAAAGTATTCGAACTATCCACAAAACAGTAATTTGGTAAAATCCTATATAGAGCTAGCTAGAACAATCGCAGAAATTTTAACTGACTACCGATCAATCAATTTTCACTTTTAAGTTGTCTTTCTTATTTTCGCCTACTATGTATCAGTAGTAAGACAATATTTATTAAACTTATGCATTACATACCCTTTGAGTGAATTATCGATAGTAGCAATCGACATCTCAACCTGACGAATGAGGCCGTGTGACCTCCTCTATTTAAATTTTCAGCCCAATGTTCGTCTTTACCAGGTCTAATCTAGTCTATAAAAACCCCCCAGCTTATTCATAAATCCCTTACGGGGATAACTAGTCTACAGTAAATCGGTTGCATCCGACTCATCTTCGTCAGCCTCTTGCAGTGTCGTCGCATTCCCATTCTCCTTATTGCTCAGCAGGGTGAAGTGGACCAGACGCTTATCATCCTGCTCATGCATTGTGAGGTGCGTGCGCATATCGCTCATCGTTTTAAACTCCTCGCTGCACACTGGACAAATGTAGATCTTATCGCCCTGATGCGTTCGCTGATGCATCTGGCAGTCGCCGCGTTGCGTAAAGCTTTTCGAGCAGAAGGGACAAACGTAAGGCCGCTCGCCCGTGTGCGTACGTCGATGATTCTTGAGTACATTAAGCGCAGTAAAGCGCATGGGACACAGATCACAGGCATACGGTCTTTCTCCAGTGTGTTTGCGCTTGTGCTTAGCCAGGGAACAGCTGGTCGTAAATCTGGAGGAGCAGACCTCGCACTGGTACGGCTTGACGCCCGTGTGAGTGCGACCATGAGAAGTTAGCTCTGCTTTGGTCACAAATGAATGATCGCACAGCGTACATTTGAAGCGCTTAATGTCCGAGTGTCTCATCTTGTGCTGGCGCAGATTCGCGTTCTGCGTGAAGCCTTTTCCACAGACATTGCAAACGAATGGTTTCTCGCCGGTGTGAATGCGCATGTGATCGCGTAAAGTAGACAGCATCGTGAAAACTGCAAAAAAGAAGGAGATAAATGTTGAAACTACTCAATCTGACAGCCTTCAAAATTTCATTTGACTTATGCCACTTACCCTTCTGGCACACATTGCATTGATTACGCAGATTCCGCTTGTGCGTCTGCACCATGTGCCTACCCAACTGCTCCATAGACTCACAACGAAGACCGCACTCTTGACATATAAAGGCTCCATGTGTGGCCTGATGTTCGGAAAGATGTTCGGGCGAGACAAACACTCGCTCGCATTCATTGCACTTGAAGTTTCGATGAGTGCAGCTGTTCTGCCTTCGATGTATGATTAGGGATTTCTCCAATGCAAAGCCTGCATTGCAGCGATCACAGTGGAACTTCGTCTTCAGCTCATCCATGTCGGCGGCAGGTGGTTGCTTCGATTTCTTTGCATCCATCTGCTCTTCAGGTTGATTGCGCTTGGACGTTGACTGTGACTCCTGTTGTTTCGATTGTTTCTCTTTCGACGCTGGCTCTCGTGAGATATATGTATCACCAATACCATTGCTGACAAGCCGATACTTGTATTCCTTCTGCTTGGCATTACTTTCCGCAGGCTGTTCAACCAGCTCGCCCGTATTCTTATTATACACCATTTCCGTCTCGAACTTGATATTGTCTTTCTCCACATGCAGTATTATATTTTCGGCATTGGCCTTGGACGGTGTCACTTCTGTTTCTTGCTCTTCAGTAAATTCGTAATCATACTCCTCCTCCTCCTCCTGACCTTCCTGCTCCTCATCTTCTTCCATTACAGTCGTTGTCTGCTCCTTTGGTTGCTCTTCATTTGTTGTGTTTTGTTGCGCGTCTACTTTTTCTATCTCATACGTTTGGGCCTCACTGCTGACTGTTGCAACTGTATCAGTTTGAGCCGAGCTGTCGGATGTGGAGACTGGAATCTTAGCTACAGATGGAATCAGTTGGTCCGGCTCTTCGGGCAGGGCATTGGGCAGCAACTGTCGCAGCGTACGATTGGAGCTCTCACATTTTAGTTTAAACGAGTAGCAATGGTTTATTTCGCTGATACAGCTAAGACAAACCCTGGCTGGCAAATTATCTTCGCGTCGCGGCTATCAACAGGAGAAACATGAGTTTGAGACGCCTACTGTTAATCTCAACATACCTTCGTGCGGGTGAATTCGCGCAGCATGTCGACTAAGCAACTGCCATTACCACCATCATAGATGGACAGAAATGGACCCGAGAGACTTAAGCAAGTGCGACAAATCTTCTCCACGTCCATTTTGCAGCAAAATATCTTAAGAAAAACTCACAAACAACAACTAAATGTAATGACGTTACCAGATTGCTTGACGCTAAAAAAAGAAAGTGCTGCCATTTGTAAACATTGTTACACTATTTAACTCTATCGTGCGTCTGCATGTCATGCAAAAAATAATAGAAGCGCAATATCAATATAACGAATTATCATATTACATCGGCAAACTACATACGTATTTTTTTAGATTAAACTAATTGCATGGTCAATTTTTATTAGTTCTTATTGTAAAGACATAGCGTCTGTGCTGCTTAAATTCAGACTGCGTCGTTACCAGATCACGCAAACAGTGCTACCCATCGAAAATGAAGCACAACATAGCGAAATTCAGCCGGTGATTTATTTGATCAACTTGTGCTCTAATTGGTGCGTAAATAAATAATTATTATGAACGATATTAAACGACTGAAGGAACAGCAACGCGATAAACATCCAGGCTTCGACGGCTATTTGGATTGCATGACCCGAGCTCTCTTTACGGGTTTGGCATCGTTTTGTTTGGGTAACCATTTCATGTGTTGTCAAAACAATTGCATAATATTTATTATTTTTATAGGATTTGCAGGCACATATTTTATTCAAAAGGCAGTTCAGAGGAAAATACGCTATCCGTCTAAATACAACATATTAATTTCCTCATTGGTAGCTACAGGTGTCGCCTATCAAACGACTACAACACGCACCAAATCCTGCCAAGCTGCTTGGATGGCCATTGAAGGCAAACACACGGTGCTCAACGAGGAAAACTACTAACTTGTAATCAACCAAAATTTATAATAGTATAGTCTAAGTCATGAATTGTCTGCATGTGTTGCTGCGCGTATCCCAACTGCGTCCAGCAATAACTCGGATACCAACGCGTTTTCGATACACTCAACATCAAGGAGTCAAAGGAATTCGTAATCGTAAGAGCTTTTACGAGGCTCCAGTACAGACGGAGCTGCACGAGCAAAATGAATTGGCGAACGTAAACGCAGGAGACATGCGCTTCTTGGACGATCGGTGGGTCAGAGTGAATTATATGACTTAATCTCATATTAAAATATGTTCTTACAGTGCATATGAGGAAGTCGCCGGGGGAGCTATGCGCATTAACCGTGATGTCGCCATAGCCCAGCATGTTTTCATCCTGCAGCCTTATGTAAAGTGGTCCGCCAAGCGCACCACACCCGTCGACGTGACGCCTGATGATCAACTAGCAGAGGCGACTGCGCTGATCCACTCGCTGCCCAACTGGCAAGTTGCTCGATCCCTAAAAGTACCACTGGAAAGTCTGGAGCGTAAAACACTCTTTGGTAGTGGCAAAATAGCCGAGATTAAGGAACTGCTTGCACAACTGCGTAACGAGCGGCAGGTTAACAGTATATTTGTCAGCAAGGGCACGCTCTCATTTGCCCAACGACAATTCCTAGAGGACGAGTTTAAACTGCCTGTGCTAGATCGTTACTCGGTGGTCATACAGATACTACGTTTGCATGCGACCAGTGCAGAGGCTCGCCTACAGGTGGCTATGGCAGAGTTGCCTTATATATGGTCGCAGGCTAAGGATGCCAGTGCCACGCAGACCCGGCGACAAGGCTACTCTCTAACTGATCAGCAAAAGGAAATACTGCGAACCAGGGAACGCAAACTGCGGGCAGAATTGGATGATGTTCGTCGGCAGCGACGCTTGCTGCGCAAGAAGCGCAAACAATTAAACTGTCCAACTGCAGCTGTTGTTGGCTACACAAATGCAGGAAAAACGTCGCTGATAAAGGCGCTCACAATGGAGGACGCAATGCAGCCGCGTAATCAGTTGTTTGCTACTCTGGATGTGACAGCGCACGCTGGCTACCTGCCCTGCAATCTGCAGATTATTTATATGGACACTGTGGGCTTTATGTCCGATTTGCCGACGGGATTGTTTGAGTGTTTCGTGGCCACCCTAGAGGATGCAATGCTTGCGGTAGCTACACGATTTTTATACATGACAAATGTCCAATTATTGATGCTTTTTTCTTTTAGGATATCATTATACATGTGCAGGATCTGTCACATCCCTGCCACGCGGCTCAGCGCGCCCACGTGGAGGCCACGCTGCGCTCTTTGGCTTTTAGCGTCTCCCAGGGAAACTCAAACGCCGGCGAATTGCCTCCAATAATTAATGTTTTTAACAAGTGCGATTTGCTTAAACCGAACGCTCAAGTATCTATGCTGGCTGAGCAAACGGATACGGCTATGTGCCACTTAACCTCGGCACGTACTCACGCCGGTCTGCAGACGTTGCTCAAGGATGTGGAGCAGCAAATATTGGATGTGACCGGGCGTCGTAAATTGCAGGTGCGCGTACCCAGTGGGGGACCGGAGATGGCTTGGCTCTATAAAAATGCAGCCGTCGTGGACACCAAAGCGGATGAACAGAATGCGGAGAAGATTCTCATGCGTGTTGTCATTAGCCAATGTACCTTGGACCAGTTCATGCGCGAATTTTGCTAGCTAAAAAAGTGTTTCCCCTCTTGCCTCCGCTTTAAATATATATATACCTTTAATTTTACTTTGTTTAACTTTATTTGTTTGTTAAAATAATGCAAAGGGCGCAACTCGCACCAATTATATATATTTTATTTTTTGCTATTAATGTAGTGTATAAATTAGTGTATTGGTGTTCGGATTCTATAGTATACGTATATATATATAAAATTAGCTACAAAACACTTGTACCACAAAAATATATTGTTTTTAAAAAATGTTTAAACAAAACACAAAAATATTGCACTTTTTGTTGCTTGACTTCTGTTTGTGCTTCGCTAGCTCACGTTAGTTTTATTGTGTATTTTGTTCTCAGGAAATCCCTATTCGTTACAAAAATATTTAAAAAATGTCAAACTATATGTACATGCAAATTCCTGCTATACAGATTCTATATACTATAATTCATTTGATTATTAATATTTTAAGTGCATTTTAATTGGCACTTTATACTTCATAACACAAAATACCTTTGGGAATTAAATATTCTAAAAACATGCAACGAAATACCATGGCAAGTTACAAAAACCCTTTCCTACAATAAATAACCGACCAAATACGTTTGATAATGGCTATATACCTTTGCTGGTATAGCTAATGAAATTGATCTTGAATAAAATCTTGTATATGTTGGGCATGTCAAAAAGTCTTATCAAAACTATATAACCAACTGTTAAACCTGCGGCAGCCACCAATAACCTATTGAAGCAACGTTAAGAGTATAATTTCAAATGCTGTTAAGCTTATGTTATATTGGGACTAAAGCAAACATTAACATAGCTATGTTGGGCTACGAGTATAAGTTGCAGTGCGTTGTAACATATTTGTTCTGTTAGTTAAATAGCATGTTAAATAAGTTTGTGCTCTTCCTAACACAGTAAACAAACTTAAGCTATCATTTTAAAACTTAACTTAAATGACTTGTTGTTAGGCAAACAATCGAAATTGACATAATTGTGCATTAGTTAAACATACGTTTTCTTAAAATAGAAAACCCGGCTATATACCTACTACATGTAAAAAATAAAATAAAAACTGTACAAATTAACATATGACATTAACGTAAAATAAATTCATTTAGAAAGATATACCAGGAATGTTAAGAAGTGTACAAATTAGTTAAATAGTTGTAACAATAAGAGAAGTCAACTTTGACTGGACATCAGTGTAAACATATATACTGGCTGTCGTTGGGATCTCTAGCTTTATGCATTATTAATATAAATCATGAATTTCTTGAACATTGCAGGGAACAGCAGGGAGTTTTTGTTTTGTATGGCAATAAATTAAAGTTAAGAAATTTTAAATTTTAATTAGATCCTTAGGGACTAAAACAAACTACCTTCGTATACACAAATGCCATATACCCATATATAATTTACACATGCACACATGCGCACTCTCAGTCAGCACACACATACGGGCGCACACAGACTACGCGGCTGAGCAGAGGGTCGCCAATAGCCACAGTAATAATTGCCAAATGGGAGCGACGAGTACAATAACAAAGAGTATGCAAATGATCCGACAATTCTTGAGCAGGCTGACAATGCATTGAATAAATAGTGATATTGTACTATGATCACCCTGGGTCGAGGACATTGTTGTAGGCAGCGGAGTGCTGGCAGGCGCCAACCGCTTGCCATTTGTCAGTTATAATTTGGCCATATGCGACTGCGCCTGCTGGTTGGCAGCCATCGAGTATTGGGTAAATGGCATTAGCTGACAATACTCCAGCAGCTGCAGCTCTAGTTGCCTGAGGCACTTCATCGGTGTTGCCGCAGCGATGCTCATCAGGCCCGTCTCCCGAGATTTGTGCAAATAACCGGACTGTATTAGTGCATAGATAGCGATGTTTAGATTATCCAAGGCCAGACAATAGGGATGCACGTGCAATGCGGTGCCGCCTGCCTGCTGCAGCAGCTGTTCGACGTGCTGTTGCACGCGCACCAACAGATCCTTGGAGTTAAATTCGCCCGACATCTTCAAAGAACGCAAGATATTAGTTGACATAGTACAGCTTGTCTATTGCATGACACTCACCTGGCGCAACGTGACCGCTAGTTGGTAGTAGAGGCAGAGAAATGGAGCCAGTGCAGCCAGTATGACTCTGGTACACTCGTTATCCTGCACACTAACCTTGCCCGTGTGCTCATTCAGCTGCAGGGCACGCTCCTCGATCAGCAGACTCAAATGCGTTTCAAACTCGGCCGCCTCTCGATTCGATTCGATGATGAACTCATGCTGGAACAATGCATCCATACTGCTCACATGGTTGTGCAGGGCAGCCAACGTCTCCTGGTACGAGCTCGGATTGTCCAGCTGCTGCTGACGTCGCTGCTCCTTGAGCGCGGCAAGCAACAGATAGGCGGGCCGTGCCAGCCAAAACATGCACGGATTTATGTAGAGCTGCAGCGCCAACATCGGCACAGCCACCGCCATCGTTTGTGGGCATAAGGCGTGCGCCTTCAGCCGCCGCACATCGATCTGGGCCGCCAACTGTTCTGCAGCCAGTGGAGTGAATTGAAGTTTGCCTACACGAAATTGCAGAATATTGCTGTGAATTTCTACGGCATCGATCACGTCCGCCTTGATGCTATTCGCGCTGGTGCTAACATGGGCTCCAAGCTTCTCGAATATCCGCTTTAAATGCAAAATACCACGGGACAGTTCATCCACATTGACGCTGCACTGTCCATATAGTTTGCTGGCATAATACAGAGTTAGCAAATTAAATGTGGTGATGACAATGCGGCGCTGCTGCTGGTAGATAATCTCGTTGGCCAGCTGCTTCACTAGCTCGATCTCCTGCCGATTGAGCTTTTGCAGGGATCCGCCCAATCCGGCGCGTTGCATGCGCTGCGTGCTGTCATGGCCAAAGAATTCACGCACTGAGATCGGCGCACCGAAGTCCAGAAACATTTTGCCAAATCGTTCGTCGATGATTTTCAAAGCCTTGAAAAAACCCTTCGTGGACTCTTTGGGCTTGGGCACGCCCAGCAGCTCATAGACAAACAGCTGTTCCTCCAGCACACGCTCGTAGGCCACGCTGACGGGCACAATCATTACATCCGGCACCTCGCCCGTAAAATATGGCAGTAAGGCCATCGACAAGAGACCCACCTTGGGCACCAGAGCCTTAAAATTTCGGGAGCGCGTGCCCTCTATGAAGAACTCTACGCCTATGTGGTATCTGGCGACCAGAGCGTACATATACTCGCGAAAGATGTCCCAGTAAAGCTCATCGTTTGAGAAGCTGCGACGCATGAAGAAGGCGCCCGTCTTGCGTAGCATGGTGCCCATGCCGAACATTGAGTGAAAATCTATGGAAGATAGAGAAGTAATTAAGGATAATATTAAATGGGTCAAATAACTTGAACTCACCCATGCCGGCTGCTATGCCTGGTATTTCGATGTCATAGTAATAGCATATGTAGCTCATCAGTATGAAGTCCATATAGCTGCGATGGCTGGGCAAATACAGCACTGGACAGCGGCCCATTTCCTTGCGCACATTGGCCATGCTGGTCGAATTGACATAGAAACCATCACAGATGCGCTTACCAATGGCCGTAATTGTAATGCCGCACCAGCGTATTATGGCCATGTTTCGATCCAAACCGATCTCATCGATAATCGCACGCGCCTGCTGCTCCAGCTGTTTGATCGGCTGCCCTGTCTGTTGCGCGTAGTGTTCCAGCAGTGAGCGCAGCTTCTCGCTGCGTAGCACATGCTGTTTGAGTTTCTGGGGATTTAAGTAGCGTTCAAATTCGTAGGCCACTTGGGGCTTGAACTCTCGGGTCATAGATGCCTCTTTTCCTGGTGCTATAATATTCTCAAACTGCCGCATATATGCGGCGGCTGTCGCCTCAGCCGATGCCGATGGGGATGAGTCATCGCTAGACGCGGCCGTTGCTCTGTTTACCTGGCTGGCGGTTGACTTCATTTCCATGGTACGCTTGACTTTTAACTGTAAAATGTTTAAAGTTAAATGTGTGTTGTATACGTATTTGTGTATATATGTATTTATTTGGGGTATAATATCAAGTGGTTCCACTGTGTACGGCCTGCCTAGCGATTGATTGCACACAGCTGGCGCACGCCCTCGCTTTACTACTTATTCTTATCGGGCAGGTACGATTCTAGATAGGCTTTTGCCACACCGGCTTTTTGGCAATCAGGTGGCAATCGAGTATGTGCGTTATGCATCACCATCAACTTTCTACTAAGAACATAATAGACTATCACGTGTGACTGAAACAGCTATAAAACTGATTACGGTAGTTGTTATCAGTGCTAAGACGTCTAAGACTGTATGCCCCAATATGATAGACAATATACGAGTATATAGTAGGTCGGTACGCAGTTCATATGTTTTTCTTGATAAATAAACCTAAGTCAAAAATCAATATAATCCTATACAGAGTTAATTTTTAACGGTGTATTTTCCTTCCTTACGTTTTTTCCCAATCACCTCAATTTATTTTTATCGTGTATTAAATAGAAAAAAAATATTTAGCAATTAACCTATACTCTTATTTTATATTATTTTAATTTACTATTCACGAAACATAGTATTAGTGACTTCTATGACTTTTTCGTACTCACTCAATTTAAAACTGACTTAAAAACCGTAACTCTTATATAACACATATTGGAATTAATAAGACTTGGCAGTTTTAACTTGAATGCTTATACATATATCCACTTTCACATATGGTGAGCTGTGTACCAGTTCACCAATAAGCAGGATTATATTATACATGTGACGTTATTGGCAAATTAAACAGAAGGAAAACACTTAATATAACTAAACACGTAACACAAGGAAATAATAAATATTTATTATTTATTATGGAAACACACAACTAATATGCTTTTGGTATCACGATTTATATACATAGTTATATTTACATATATATTTGCAAAATAGCCTGCGTACCGGTTTGCACGCTGCAGTGGATTGCACTTAGAAATTATGAATACAAACGCGGGATAGTTTGTTTACTAAATGCCTTACGAAACACATAGGAATTTTAAGGCAATTGTTTTTTTTATTTTGTTATTGTATTTTTTACTTTCGTATGTGACAAGTAAACAAAAAAGGCAAACACACGCTGAGCAAACAAATTGTAGTTAATCATACACAGCACGCTGCGAGTTAAATGATTTCTAAGATTTAGCTAGACAAGTGTAGTTTCTTGAATGATAAATGAACCTAATATGCAATTTAAACAGTTGCTGCGTTTCTCAGCTAAACGCATACATGCAATAATATGCACACACACACTCACACACAAATACATATGCACCCAATATATTGTAAGAGCAAATAACAAAAAATCAGAGAGGTTGTCACAGCCGATGTTTTGCTTTAATGTTGTTTTGCACAGTTTTAAGCATTTAGTTTAAACGAATTTGCATTAAAATGAGTTGACTTTCTATTTTGGAAATTGGGTTGGTTTAAATACATACAATGCAAATTCGATACAGGTACTGTAGCAGCGAATCGGCGACGCTTTAGCAGCGCGATGGTAAAGCAACTACCACTCCACATTTGCGGCGACAACCACAACGACAGCACCGGGTCGATATTTATTTTTGTTGCTGTCGCTGCTGGTGGTGAGTTTCACCACTGCTGGCAAGTTTTCACGCACGACAAAGCCTATCGATATGCATGACATGCAGTGACGTGCCAAATGTGATATAGCAAACAATTATCTTAATACAATTTAGTTATTCATTAATATTGACATTAGGAGTACATTTTACATTCATTTGTTAGACCGCACAACGGGATATACTTGTTCATTGTTTATGCCAAATACAATTTGAAATAAGTTACGTTGCAGACCCCTAAACTCAACGTCTGTTACGCTATTTAAAACGGAGCTTTTCATTTCATGCTGGGCTTGGCTGTGCTTTTAAAATTGGAGGTGGCAACGTTGGTCGCACACCGCTTGGTCAATTATAAATCATCTGTTCATTTTAAAGCTGTCGTGTTTTGTGCAAAATTATACATAGATAATAATAAAATATGTGTCCAAAATCAAAGTGTTGATAACGCCTCGTTGACGTGATAACCGATCGCTACCAGCCTTATCTATCGTATACGATCGTAACGTAGACTCCTACGTCCAACGGCTGCTTCCATTTAAAATCACAACTTTCCAAACAAGTTTCTGCAGTGCTCTTTACATTTCCGTGGAGGTGGCAACACCAGCAGCAAAAACATTTCATTACATATCTAATTGGATATCAGGTCACCTAAAAGTCGCTGTTTAAGCATAAAGATAAACAGAAAGATAAAAAGTTAAAAATTTAAGATGGCATTTTGGCCCGTATTACTGGACGCGCTGATAACGCTGATTCACATAATAACCGACCGAATCTTGGAATTTGCACTGGGCTGGTATTTGGGGCCTCACAAGCGTGTCGCAACATTTGCCACAGTGGATCAACAGGTCATATTGACTAAGAGCGCCGTCGAGTTGGCAACAGCGATACGCACGGGCAAATTAAAAAGTTACGACATCGTCAAAGCTTATTGCGAACGCATCAATATCGTAAATCGTGAATTGAACGCCGTTGTCGATGGGCCGTTCGAGACCGAGGCGCTAGAGGAGGCACGCGCTATCGATGAACGTCTGGCGTCGGGTCAGTATAGCGATGAGGAGTTGCTGTCGTTGCCCTTTCTGGGCGTGCCCTTTACCACAAAGGACAGCACATCGGTGGCTGGTAAGCGGCTTACATTGGGCCTGGTGGCACGTAAGGATATGCGATCCAAGGAGGATGCGGAGTGTGTGCGTCTGATGAAGAAAAGTGGCGCAATCATTATTGCCACGTCCAATGTACCGGAAGTGAATAAATGGATTGAGTCACGTAATATGCTCATTGGTGGCACGAATAATCCCTACGACTTGAGGCGTTCAGTGGGTGGCTCCTCTGGCGGTGAAGGCGCTCTGATCTCGGCCTGCTGCACAGGCTTTGGACTAGGTACTGATATCGGTGGCTCCATACGCATTCCTGCCTTCAATTGCGGCATCTTTGGCCACAAGCCCACCTCGGGCGCCATTAACATGGCCGGCTGCACCTTTCGCACCGGCAAGGAGCTGAATACAATGGTCTGTGCCGGTCCCATGACACGTTTCGCCACCGATTTGCGACCCATTATGAAGGTACTCGTGGAGCCATCACTGCAGAGCGTGCTCCAGCTGGATAAAGAGGTCGATGTGAAGAAATTGCGTTACTTCTATGTGCCAAGCCTGGGCATGCGTCAGTGTAATCCCATCAATCGAGAGACGGAGCGCGTCATGTATAATGTGCGTAAACACCTGGAGCAGCTGACTGGTCAGGATGTGCATCTAGCCAAGTTGCCGGAAACGAAGCTGACGGGCAAAATGTGGCGCTATTGGATGACCCAGGAACCAGCCAGCTTTAATCAACTCCTGGGTAACGGCGTTCAGCTGAATCCGTTTGTGGAGCTGTTTAAAAAGCTGTTGGGTCAGAGCGAGTTCAGCATGGCGGCTATTTACTCGCTGATCGACAGCCTGCTACCCAAGGAGAACGAGAAGCTTATACGCTCAGCCACCAAAAAGTGCAAGGCAGCTCTTCAAGAACTGCTGGGAGAAAATGGCGTGCTGATCTTCCATAGTTCTCCACGTACAGCCCCATTCCATTACTATCCATTGTTCAAATTTCTTGACTTTAGCTACTTTAGTCTGTTTAATGTGTTAGGACTGCCGGCGACGCAAGTGCCCATGGGACTGGATAGCAAAGGCATGCCACTGGGCATTCAGGTGGTATCCAATCTTAATAACGATCGCCTCTGTTTGGCTGTGGCCGAAGAGCTGGAGCGTGCATTTGGCGGCTGGGTGCCACCGTTTCCATTAAAAACCAAATAAACGGTTGCTGGTCATCTCTTTTAATACTCATCCGGGTGGTGGGGATCCCTAAGGCTGTTTATATGAACAATAAATATAAATTGAATTATTCAATATGCTTTGCTTTAAGCCATTTGTTTGAATTTGGCGGCCAATAAGGGAGCCAGACGTTTAAGCTTACGGCATCTATCTGGCAACACTGAGGCATTTGGAACGCGGTGGCAGTACTTACCATTCTTGATGGACCACACTTTTATATTGCCTTTGTGTGCGGGAAATATTCGAAACGTTTCTACGCTTGAGAAAAATTGTGAAAATAGGAAGTAAAGTAATTTAAATATCCGAATATATGTATGTATACTTATGTACAAAATGGAATTTTATAAGAGCCAACAGGAGCCAAACGAAAGGTAAGTGCGAGCATCTATAAGTAGCTAATTAAAGCGTATGTAAGCAGTTGGTGACATCCTTCGAACTTTGACCAAGCAGGTGATAAATGAGCGCTTAAGCCCCACAACCAGCAACAGCAACTGTCCACAATTAATTTGCAGTGTCGGCGCCCCTCTACACACACACTCCCCACACGCATAAGCAGACAGTTCACCGTTGCAAATGTGCGTGCGGCTCTCAGGTTGAATGTAACCAAACCCAACATTGGCTTCGGCCATAAATTACGTGCAACGAGCATCTTCCGTTTGTCTCATTTGCTGCTGTTTGTCGCTTCTACTGTGCTCCATGTTTCGTCTATTGTCTTGTTGCTGACCAAGCGACAAATATGCCTTTTAATATTTTCGCATAGCACAAGTCAAGAATGGACACGTGCAATTGTGTAAAATGTTTTTGTGATCGTTGTTGTTGCTGTTATTGTAATTTGCTGGTATGCTTAGGTTATGTCTCTCTCAATCTGTGTGTGTGTGTGTGTGTGTGTGTGTTTATATGTACATACATATATTTGTACATTTCTGTACCATTCTTTTTGGCTGTTTCTGTTTCTGAAATATTAACGACGCCCTTTTGCTGTTTTTGTCTTTGTGCATAACTTTTGCGTTTGGAGTGTTTTTGCCTGCATTTTATGTGCGCCTCCAACCAACCGCACATACACATACACGCATATTTTACATTTACATTAGTGTGTGGCGTGCAAATAATGCGTAGAAAGCAAATCAAAATTACGATTTTTGTTTTGTCATTGAGCTTTAGTGATGTGCAAGTGCAGTTCGATTAGTGATGGGCCGAATATCTAACTACATTAAAGTAATTTAACAAGTATATTAGAATAACTATCGGGACAACAGTCAAGTGAATGTCGTTTAAAGCTCAGTCAGACGTTTCCTTTCATCTGCCCTTGCCGCAGGGCCGCGAATGGAAAATTATGAAAATTGCCCAGCCGCGACGGACTTTGTGCGGCATTGTGTGCGCGCCTTTGACAAATCCCAAATCCAGGCACTAAACAGTCATGTTTCATTGCCATCGTCGTTTCAAAAAAAAAGAACTCCACACACATTTGCCTATGAGGCAAATAAAACGAAGAGAAAAAAATAGTTGAGAGTTCTTTATTTTGAAGCGTAACTGCTGCTACTGCTGCCGCTGGCCCCAAACTGTTGTGAAAACGTCTACATTGTTGAAATTCCTTTTGCGAAATTGCCACGTGACACAAAGGCGTCTGGAGCACAAACATATACATACATATAGAGTGAACGCCTTTTATTAGCCTTGCTGAGGGCCGACCCCAGCCGAACTAGCCGACACAATAGGCCCGAAAATGACGTTGCAACAATTAATGTGAACATTTTCGCAGTCGTCGTCGTCGTGATTTATAACGTGCATAAAATTTGCGTTCCTGGCGAAGCACCTAAAATGGTGGGGAGTCCAAAAATTAGTCAGTTTGCTGTTTCCTATTTGGCTAGTGTCTGTGTGACGTGGCGGGGGCCGTTGTCAACGTCTGCATAATTTATCGATAGTTGCGTACGCTTGCACCCGATACACCCTGTGCGCCGACTGTCTGCATATTTGAAAACTATTTTCATTGCGTGATAATTTATGTGACATACAAATTACACAATCGTTGGCCAGTTATGCAAATTAATTACAAAAATTTACAGTTCCTAACAGCACGTTCTCTCGCTCTTTCTCTCTCTCTAATTCTACAGTTATACAAATGCATATATGTACATATATACATACATATAAGTAAACGTAGTGTTCCTGCTTTTTCGTTCAATTTCCTAGCAAATCTCACTTTATGCTTCTAAGAAAATTTCACTCGTGTCTTTGCTTCGACATTTTGCAGTTTATGCAGTTGCTTTTTTTTCAATTTACAATAAAATTCAATAAGGTGTTGGCTTAATGGAAATTGATTGACAGCAGCTGCCGAATGTGTACGTGTGCACGTGTGTACGTGTGTGTGAGTGTGTGTACATCTAAGGCCAGGTCTTAGCTTTCTGTTTTGTTATTTGCCTTGGCCATAAAATGCAGCTGAGAGCCAAATATCCGCTTGATTGAAATATCGAAAATGGAATGAAAAACTTTTAGTTGAAAATTTTCTAAATATTTAAAGTACCTATATATAAATGTTAAACAACAAAATATGCTTTGTTTTATAATGTGAATTATTATATCAAATATAGAGAAACAAAGTAGAGACTTTCCATAGTTTGCATATTAAAATATAAATTTGAATGCTTAGCTTAGATAGTCCAGCAGCTTGATGCACATTTGCAGCAACTTCATTAGACTTATGCAGCCGCATGCCCATTTCAGTTAAACACTTGGCTAACAAGCATACGCGCTGTTGAACATAGAATATAACGTATGCGCCCATTATGCATAACCTTGCGCTGAGTGTAGATCTGAATGTTGAAAACTAACAAAAATCTACAAAATGAATTGCAGGTGCAAGTGTGATGAGAGAACGGGGTGGCTGTGAAGTGGTAGGGATGTGTATGTACATGGATTGCATGCAACAACAACTACAGCTTGTTGCAGTTTGACGCTGGGTTCTTTCCACTGTTGCACAATCAGCAAAAGTCAGCGAGCTATGAACAAAAGTTAAACAGAGAAAACAAAGTGCAAAGTCGGTTGCTGGCGGATAAGAGGTTAGAGGGGGCGTGGCCTGGGTGACACTGGGCGTTGCAGTTGTCGCTGCACATTGCACACATAAAGTGCATAAAGAGCCGACGCCATTTTAAAGTTAAAACATTTGCGTAATTAGCAGCAGGAAAAGGTAAAAACAAGACAAGTAAACAATCATGGCCAAAACTACTTTAAGTGCCAGCACAAATTGCACACCAAAAAGTTAATTAAATTGTTAGCAGTTCGCGATTTTATTTTTGTTTGCCCGTTTACGGCTCACCGATTTATCGTTTCGGGTCGCGTTGGCCGTGTTGGCTTTTGGCCAACTGCATGTTTGCTAGCCGAAAACCTCCAAGCTGACAATTAACAAATGTCAACGGTGCAAAACTTGTGCCAAAGATGCGGGTGGCGCTGCCATGGCCAGCCTTCGAGGAAGCGCACTCTTATGACACCAGTTCTCCGACTGTGTTGGTAACAAACCAGCTCTGCTCTATGTTCACTATGTGAACTACTTTTCCATTAACTTTTTACACGAGTTTTACATGTGCTGCTGAAGTGGTTCTTACTGTCCTCAACTTTAGTTTTTTACTAGATGATAGCTATACCATTTGGCCAATAAATCAACGAGTTTTTGTTGTGCTCTCAAACAAATTGATATGCCCTATTAGATTCGTAGACATTTTGGCAGATTCATAACAACTAGAAATCAGAAGATCCCAGAAGAGCAAGTGTAATTAAGTTGACGAAGAATGTATGTACGATAGCTGATCATCTAAATTACATAAAAATATGATGTTATTAAACAATAATAAGAAAACCACAAGTTATAAGTATTAAGTATCCTTAGTATTTCCTCCAAGCATTACCTCTAAATATTACCTCTAAGTATTACGTCTTAGTATTACGTCTTAGTATTACCTCTAAGTATTACATCTAAGTATTACCTCTAAATATTACCTTTAAGTATTACGTCTTAGTATTACGTCTTAGTATTACGTCTTAGTATTACCTCTAAGAATTACATCTAAGTATTACCTCTTGGTATTACCTCTTAGTATTACCTCTTAGTATTATTTCTTAATATATCCTCTTAGCATATCCTCTTAACATATCCTCTTAATATATCCTCGTAATAAATCCTCTTCATATTTGCTTCAAGTATTTTCTCCATCTCTAATGCTTCGCTGAACGATCACTAAATTTGTACACATACTTCCCTTCACTACCCTTCACTTCGCTTCACTTCACTTTACTGCACTGCACAAGTGACCCCCGCCAGGCCTGAGACAACTGAAGAAATGCTGCAGCTGCTGCCCTTTATATAGGGCGCCTTTTACTCACACACGAAGTCGCTCTTAAGTGTTCGGCCCGACGACAGGTAGAGATCGACTCATACGAGCTCTATGTAAACAATGAGAGCACTCTCTGCTGCTGCAGGCATTCTAGCTTCGTTTTACTTCAATACATATGAAAATGAATACTGCCGCATACATGCACACAATTTAAATGATCTTCTACAGCTCTTTTACGTATATTACTTGTGACTGGCAAAAAGACAGACTGTGAGACAGACATAAGAATAGATATATAGATAGTAAACAAACTCGCATAGTTAAATCGGATTAGCTCTTTTGGCTGCTCAGGAATATGAATAATACGACTTAATGTTGATATGCATAATAGCTTATGTATATTCATATTTATAATAATTAAATGACTTAAGCCGCAGTTCCTTCTGTTCTATAGTTCTCTTAACGAACAGCACTGTAAGAAAATAAACAATATTTCCTTGTCCAATTAATTTTTTTAATTTGACTTTTACTTGATGGATTTTTGTGTTTACTCTAGTTTAAAGCATTCATCTTTCAGGGATTATAAGGTTGTTCATTAAATATGTGCGCCTCGTCGTCATCATTTAACATTGCCAGCTGGCTGGTCTGCTATATTGTGCGTAAAGTTCGGAGATAAGCGTGTTGCCACCTCCAGTTTTATTTTATTTTATTTTTTTTCACAGCCCGCCCTTCTCTCCTC